CTCACAGCAACCTCAAACTCTTGGGCTCAAGCGATTCTCTTGCCTCAGCCTCCCAAGTAGCTGGGACTATAGGCACCCGCCACAACGCCCGGCTATGCCATTAGTTTCTTAATGAAAAGTTTATATGCCACAGAAAAATGCCCATCTAAATCCTTCTTACTTCACAAATACATCAAAGTCCCTCTCAGAAAGCAGCACAGTTCAAATCCTTGACTTTTACTGTTACTAGCAATGTGACTAACAATGTACTTACATATTGATAAGGGGGTACAAAGAACTAAAAGGCCCCAAAACTCCGTAAAGGAACAAGCTTAGCTAAAATAATAATAATAATCAGCTGCTGTCCTCCCTTGCTTGATGATGTCACTGTCCCATCTGCTTCTAGCTGGTGGTTATGAAGAATTTTTACTTTTTCCACATTGGGGGTAGTTGTAAAGATTCTTAACTTTTCTCCATAGGTAACATCACCTTTGGAACCCTATAGGTAGTTTCTAAGGTATCTTCCAGACCCTGCATTCCAGTAGATTGGCTAACGCGCCCAGACCAAAAAACTGACTCAACTGGAATCATAACAACCCCAGGAACTGAAGCAAAATGAGATGACTTCCAGACCCCCTATAATTTTGCCCCAAACTTAGCCAATTAGCAATCCTAATTACCTAATTCCCTGCCTGTCAAATTATCCTTAAAAACCCTGTCTCCCCAATTTCAGGGAGGTAGATTTGAGAAATATCTCCCATCTCCCTGCTTAGCACCATGTGGAATAAACTCTGCTGTGAACCTGCGGCCTCTGGACATGGCCCTGGCTTTCTCTTGGGCAGCAGGCAGGTGAACTGGCTGGCTGGGCGGCAGCATGACCACTGGAATACTGAGTGAAGTTTAATTTCTTCACAGAAAGAAGAAGATAAAGAACCCTTTCATAAGACTGTTGTAGAATAAAGGGAGATAGAACATGTAAATGACTCATCATATACTACATGTCAAATAAAGGGGAGCCTCAATTCTACTAACACCTTACATTATTAAAATATAATTCCTAGAAAACTTAGACAATAGTTTCTTTTTATGCTAGGCCGTGAATACATGAGTGTTTTTATATTATTTTCTGGATTTCAGCATATCTGAAATACATCATAATTTTTGAAATAGGAAAAAAATATTTAACTTCTGACTAAAAACATGTCAGAATTTTTAATACTTGCTACTTGCAGGGCCTTATATCTCTAAGTCCAAAACACAAATTTAAATATGAATATTAAATTATCAGTTCATATGTCTACCTTAAATAGATCTGGGGGATAAAGGTTTTTCTTTTTGAAGATTTGTGGGTTACCCTAATATAAGCTAGAATTTTAATATTTCTTACCTCCTCCCCCTCAGGTGGAACATCAATAGATTGGAAGAAGACACTGACAAAGATGTTTCTATTAACAAAAAATTTCACACAGTAAACTGTAAGATTCTCCACATGAAGCCATTATTATCAAAACCTTTCTATACTACTTTTAGGACAGGGGTGGAAAAAATATTTAAAAATCACATCTAAACCAGGGAGCTCACTGACAGATATATTTCTTAGAATAAAAGATTACCACCCCAAAGGTCTTAGGATTTTAATTAAAGTAAAAACAACTGAGACCTTAAAAACATTTACACCAAGGGCAGATTTTATACTTCTATATCAAAACATCGATTATGTCCCTGGGGGCTTTACTGAAGGACCATGGCAAGAAAGTACTAGTTTAACAGAATCCATTCTTTTATACATGAGACCCTGGAGGGAGGAGGAAGGAAAGGGTGTAAGAAGAGGCATTTGCCATTTTATAGCAAGACTCAGTTAATATGTGGCTAATGAACTATAAATAAGGTGGTCATCTGATCACAACCGAAATGAACTGTCAGGTCCAACTCAAAAATCAGACGCATTCAAATATAAAGTATGGAAAAAGTATAATCACTCAAAAATTATTTTGGTTTTATCTTTTGGAGGAATTAGAGGACTAAAAAAAGAGATGGAAATGGTACCAAAAAAAGAACTATATGGAAACAAGATTACTAAAAAAGAACACATTACCTTTGAGATTAGCATACTTTATTTGCCTAATATGTTTCACTAACTTTAAAATTTTTTTTCCCAGATTCTTCTCTATAAACAATTTTACGCCACCTGCCTAAGACACATGGAGCTAGTATTCAAAAGTATTTTGTAAGGCATACAAACTATAACCTTCCCCAAAAAACTAAGTATGGAAAAAACTGCGAATACAGTCTAAAGTCCACTAAAGATCTGTTTTCTAAAAATAACTTTGGTGTTTCTATATTCGTGTATTTAATTTTATAAAAAACGTCTTCAAGAACAAGGATTATTCATAGAATGAGATTATTTTTTCAATAACACAGCATGGTGCAATGAACAAGATGGCTTCCCCATCCTCAGATTCTTGATTTGCAGTTTCGAATATTCATGGTATGTGGTAACCCAAACTCTCTCCCCACTCATCAGGATGACATACTTTGTACTGACAGTAGGTTGAAGTACAGGGTATAATTTAACATTACCCTTGCTCAGGGTACCTAAAAGAAAAGCAAATGGTAGAGCAGCATTTGGATGATACCATCGTAAAAAAGGAGGGAAAAACATCCACGGGGTCTTTTCTCTATGCCAAATGCAGACGCATCTATTTCCAATTAACAGGGAATAGATGACAGCAACAGGGAGAAAAGCATCTAGAAAAGGGAGGACAGGGCGGCGCCTGCCGGAGG